TGGATTAAAGAGACTATGCAATATCTGAAGCTAGAAAAAATAAGATACTCTCTACAAGGGTCTGTTTTGAAATTGTATGTAACCTGGCAGCCTTTTTTGACATTTGTGGATCAAATGGAAACCTCTTATTTATGTTGTTACATATGGAATTTACATTTACATGTTACATTTGGAATTTCCCTATTGTGGGACTATTAAAGGAATATCTTATCTTACCTTATATGTTCTTTCTGTCCCTGCTATATCTATTTACATGACTCGCTTTATCAACAAGTATGAAAAATGACTGTCTTTGATTTTGTGGTACAGGTCTGGTGGGTGGGGGGTGGTGACTAGGGATTAGTTATTGTTTGTATTGTGTGTTTGTTCTGCATATTGTGAAAATCTTAAATAAAAAGACCTTGTTCAACAAAAAAAGATGACGAGACATATATAGTCACATCGTGTGTTAGCAAAACACACACTAATTAGCTAATCTACATTACTCTAGCTAGCTAGATACATCTAGTAGCTAAATGTTAGCAAAACGCTAGCTGGCTATATGTCACTATCTTTTTGTCCATCTTCAAAATGTGGTTTTCTTTTCAACATAGACGAGGAAGTTGACCAAGGTTCTGACAGAGTCTTGCTCTCTCTGTTATGAAGGACTGCAAAAAAAGGGCCAGGAATAAGAAAGGTTCAATTGATACACAGCTGTTGTTTCTTTAGCTTGGAAATACTTAAAACAGGCTAAACAACTGGTGCAGTGTCTGGTAGCCACAATGACATATTTCAAAGTTGATCAGAGGCTAGAAATCATTTCCATCCCTGGCAGACCATTCAGGTGTCATTTGCGTCCTCTCTCTACTGACCTGTGGTATGATGGTGATTCTAGAGCGGAGGTCATGGAGGCCCAGCTGAGCTATATCCACGCCATCAATGAAGATGTGGCCCTCAGCTGCCTCAATGATCCGGAACAGACCCAGTGTCAGGGATGACTTCCCTGCTCCGGTGCGTCCCACAATCCCCACCTTATGAGCAGGCACACACAGACACACAGACACAGACACAGACACACACACACACACACACACACACACAGATAACACACAATCCCTTTTCAGTTCTCAAAAGTAAAGCATTGTAAGTTCCTGTAAACCACTGCTTCAGTGTAGTCATATAAAGGCAGACCTTCTCTCCTCCATTGATGTTGATGGTGATATTGTGAATGGCCGGGTCCAGATCGTGGCGATAGCGCAGGCTAAAGCCTCTGATGTCTATGCAGCCTTTAGTGGGCCACCCTGGAGGGAGGCTGGAGGACTCCTGTTTCCACTCTGCCTGATGGTCAGCATATACATTTAAATTAGAACATCCCTTGCCCCAAAATGCACTTAAAAATATCAAAAGTAAAATTACAATCTGTTCCCATTTCCCTTTGATTGGGATCCCAGCTCTAACTGCAGGAAACGGGATAGGAAACTGAATTAGGTCCTAAACTAAAAAGGCATGAATTGTGTCAGTGGTCTTTCATCAAAGAAATAAGAAATTCCATCAAATGCTGTTAATTGCTGCACAGAACCCATTAGTTAGATACCTGGAATTTTTGCTTCTTCGTACCTCTTTCTCTGTGTCACTGTACTCTTTCACTCTCTCCACAGCCACTATGTTGGTCTCCACATCAGAGGACATTCTCACCAGCCAGGTCAGAGAGGCAGTCAGCTGCACATGGGATAGAGGAAGGCAAGGTGAGGATTAGAACCACAAACTCATTTCAGAAGTTCAAAAACATTCCACGCCCCAAGTTTTGAGATCTGTCTCAAGACTTCTGCCTCTACCCCAATACAATGGAGGTTAATGCATTGTAGCACTAGATTGTGATAGCTAGAAAGCTAGAATGTTCAGATAATCAACAGGCCTCATCAAATAGTGGTAATTCAATTTCATATGTGTGAATTCCTGCTGGCAATACTCACAAATTAACTCAGAAAATTAGATTTTTCTTAAAAGACAAGTGTGTAGGATTTAGTGGCATCTGGCGGTGAATTTTTAGATTGCAACTAACTGAATACAATGTATATGGGGGTAGGAGAAACTACTGTGTCTGTGAAACTTGAGCAAAAAGGCTAGACCAGGGTTTGGTTTGTCCATTCTGGGCTACAGACATTGCAGTTCAACATGGCATACTCCGTAGAAGATAAAAAAAGGCTCATTCTAAGGTAATGAAAACACAAGGAATCTTATTTTCAGGTAATTATACCCTAATGAAAACATACAAATTAATATTTTATTACTTTAATCAAGGAACTTTCATTTTGAGTTGGTTCTGGTGGCCTCTGTGGACAAAAGCAGTAGTGTTTGTAATGCTTTGTTTCATTGATTTCAAGAGGAATCCGACCCGGTGGCAGACATTGGGAAATAGAAAAAGCCAATCTTCTCGCTGATGGTGATGCTATGTTTATACAGGTCATGTAGTCGTATCAGCATTAAACTGAGACCGTTTCATAACTGGTTCCGTTAAAATAATACAAGGAACACAGTTATTGAGTCAGACACTTCTCTCTGCCCCGGAAGAAGATGCGAGCTGGAACAGGTAACACAGATGTGAGTAGAAGTGTTTACCTGGAGGGCATAGGAGATAGACAGCCCCATGATGCCTGGACTGAGGCTCTCTCTGGCTATGACAGCAAACAATGCAGCAAATGACACAATGAAGTTTCCTACAAACTCCAGGCGAACAGCCAGCCACCTATAGAATTACAGATTCATCAGCAGAATGAGAGAAAGACTATTGTTGAAATTACAATCGATACAATTGAAGTGGAAACATTCTTTGAAGACATCAAAATAATTCTTAAAAATCTGGAGTAAGAGTAAGTAGTAACAAACCTGTTTGCTACTATACTGGGGTAGTAAGCCTTCTGATTGTGGTCCACCCGCTGGTCACTCTCACGGATGAAGCGCTCCTGTTCACCAAAGGCTCGGATGACGGACGTTCCCAGCAGAGTTTCATTGAAGTGGGTGTAGATGGGCGAACGGCTGACTGACTCCAGACGCTTCAGCTGGCGAGATGACGCCACATAAAACCTCTGGACAGACGAAAAACAGAGACGTCTCAATTAAACTGTTAGAATCAATTTCATACAATGTAGCTAGAAAGTAGCAGGACTTTGATGCTTTGAGGATGACATCAGTAGAACAGCACAGGAGACTCTTTTTAAGCATAGTCCCCCATGTTTTAGGGACCAGTGTATTGAACATGTGTAAAAGGAAGGAAAAAACTAGTTGTTTTGCCTTCTAAAAAATGTCCAACTAACCTGCACAAAAAAGTAGATCAGGCCAAGAAAAGGAATGATGATAGCAACTAGTGGTGTGGCGATCAGGATGATAACACAAGCACCCATCACATTAAACATAGAGCCCATGAACATCTTAATAATGCTGGGGATCACTGAGTCAATGGTGTCCATCTCTTTTGCAAAGCGGTTGACCAGGTTGCCGCTGGGGGTTCGCTCAAAAAAGGACATAGGGGAGCGCAGGACGTCATATAGCATGGACTGGTGGAGGTAGCGGGATGCCAGGATGCCGCCGATGGACATGGAGAGGGAGTAACCGAAGACTGCCACACCTGCAAGAGAACAGTGGGTTATAGAGTAAGATGATTTGTATATGCTGTATGGATTTCAAACACACATATAAACACAGTGAGGTCAGAAAAAAATGAAGCAGTGTCCAAACCCTTTGTTTTAGAAAGAAGAACAAGGCAGGATCTTAAGGTGATTGATATGAAGGGAGGAGAACAAAAGATTTCCTTATCAGCTGATCTGACTGGCATGCCATTTGCAGGTTATTTTGCCAGCTGCCATTGGATGGCAGCCAGTGGACGGATAACACTATTTAGTGTGGCTGGATTGCAGCTGGCTGGCTAAACTTAGCTTGCTTGGTCACTAAAGTTATCACAAACAAAATACTATATCAGTGGATATGTGAGTTGGCCAATGTTAGCAAAACTACTTTGTCCGCTAACATGATCCATGATACTAACTTATGTATTATGACAAACAGTGTTGATTTTAGCCAACAATAAATAATAACGGTACAAAGGTAACTATTACTATCTACCA